TGAGAGCCTGCCGGGCTCCCTGGGGAGATGGGAGAGTAGTGGGGGCTTGCTTTAATTGCAGGACATTGAGTGGGAAACACCCACACCCTCCACCTGCCCACCTTGTGGGATATGGGCAAAGCTGCCCGGTGGGGTGAAAGCCCCCATGAACGCTGCCGAGCCCTGGGCAAGGCGATGGGGTCTCTGCCTTGTGGCTCCTCTTCCCTCTCCATGGGAGAACAGTTTGTCCCTTCTCCCCTTCAGGGACAACGTGGGGAAAAAGGAGGGGGACCTTTCTTCCCAGGACAGACCTGCTCCTTGCCCGCAGGGAGGGGAGGAGACACGTGCAGAGCAGAGGGCACCGAAGGCCTCTGGGATGCAGCAGGAGCCCTGCAGACCCAGCATGCGGCGTGTGCGCTGCCTGTCCCCCATGCAGGGGCAGAGCTGGATCTGGTCAGAGTCGCCTTGAAGTGTTTCAAGACCTCCAAACCCAATCCCTGCTGCCCCATGGAGCCGGTGGGAGGGAAGGCAAGGGGGTTGTGGCCCCGAGGCCCTGGCCCACGGTACCTTCTTGTCATCCATGGACAGGGAGAGGTACGACCTTGTCCTGCCGATGTGGAAGATGAGGCCAGCGGTGCTGCGTGGACGTACCTCCAGCTTTAGGGATATGTCCTGCTCGAGTGACACTGCATTGGCTGGGGGGGGAGGAAGAGGACAGCTGTCAGCAGGCGATGCCCCCAGTGAGGGGGGTCTACCCGCTCCAGGAAGCAGCCCACCTAAGGCAGCACAGCTGATGGGTGGGGGGCAAAGCCCCTAGTATGGTACCTAGAGTCACATGTCCACCCTCTGCAGCAAAGAAGACGCCGCTCTCCAGAGCCCCCTCGTAGCAGCGGGTGACGCCGAAGGTGCGAGATGGGGACGGCAGCGGGTGCCGGTCCAGCTTCAGGTTCCTCAGGCAGCCACTGAAGCTGGTGATGGATGTGTCCTAGGACAAGAGGGATGGTGGTGGGGTCAGTGCATGGTAGGGGCAGGAAGGGCACAGACACTCCTCGCCCTGCCTGCCTGGCTGGCTGGCGTCTGAGGTCTCAGCAAAAGAAATCAGGAAGGCCCCGGCTA